CTTGCGCAGCAAGGGTGAGGTCACTGAGGTGTTGATCGACTGGATCCGCGCAGCTCGTCTCCAACTCAGGGAGAGTTTCGGCTCGGACTTTCCTGTTCTGCGTCTGCACTCTAACAGAGGCGGAGAGTTTTCCTCTGCCCGTCTGGGAGCCTTCTGTCGTGCACAGGGCATCCGCCAGACCTTCACGCTTCCGGCCTCTCCACAACAAAATGGGATTGCTGAGCGCCGCATTGGCATGGTCATGGACGTCGCTCGTACGTCCATGATCCATGCGGCTGCTCCCCATTTTTTGTGGCCATTTGCGGTTTAGTACGAGGCGCATCAGCTCAACTTTCAGCCCCCGGTCTCCTTGCCAGAGACCTCCCCCACCTTGCAGTGGACGGGGAAGGTTGGCGATTCGTCTGCGTTTTGGGTCTGGGGATCTCGGGCATTTGTCCGCGACTTGTCTTCGGACAAGCTGTCCCCCCGTGCTGTTCCCTGCGTCTTCCTTGGCTTCCCCCCTGACGCGCCTGGTTGGCGGTTCTACCACCCCACCTCGCCCCGTGTTCTGTCCTCCCAGGACGTCACCTTTGACGAGTCGGTGCCTTACTACCGTCTCTTCCCCTACCGCACTGCGCCCCTCCCCCCGCGCCGCTCTTCCAGTGATAGACGAAAGTTGCAGAAATCCGAGTCACTGGAAAGTTGCAAAAAAGTTGCGTTTCTGCAACACAGCCGCAACTTCGCGGACACTCCTTGGATACGTAAAGTATATATTTCGATAACATATATGCAATTTTGGAACCTGCCACGTGGCACACGTACAGTTTCGACTTAGAAGTGTACGTACGCTGTGAGAATAGTACGAGGCAATGAATTGGACTAGGAAAAAGGTGGGTACAAGTAGTGAACCTAAAAGTGTTGTACCCCATATTATTTACCCCACTACAGCCTACACAAACTATAGCATATAAGTTTGACACACCCCCATAGGCAAAGTGGGGGAGAACAAGAGGTCACAAGACAAGTCAAGAAGAGCAAAGCAAGCTCAGGGTGGATCACGACGTCACCACACATTCTGAGCACAAGCAAACGGCCACAAGGCCAGTTCACACGCAAAGTTATATAAAACGGAACAATCAAGACAGTGATCACAACCTAGCAAATGTAAGCATGCAGGTATATATATAGAGTTCACAGTACAAGCAAAGTCAAGAAGTGAGCAAGTGAGGCCAATTGTGGACAAGGCCTAGAACAGTACAGAACCGCTGATGATCACAAGGCTGAAGTCCCTTGGTGAAGATATCAGCCGTGTTGGCCTCAGAGGCCACGTAAACAAGACAAAGCTGACCACGCTGCTGCAACTCTTGAGCAAGAAAGTGATGAAGAGCGATGTGCTTCGTTCTCTGCTCCAGTCTCTGCTCGCGACACAAGGCAAGCATTGCCTTGTTGTCGACGTACAGAACTTGAGGAGAACGAGGCGCCTCGCCCAGGTTGGTCAGCAGGTAGGTGAGCCAGCGTAGCTCCTGTGCAGCCATGGCCCCTGCGTAGATCTCAGCCTCACGGCTGGAGCTGAGAACAGAAGACGAGCGGGTAGACCGCCACGAGACAGAACCGGAGCCAAAGCTGAAGGTGTAACCCTGTGACGACCACTGCGTAGCCAAGTCGTCAACCCAAGAAGCGTCTGCGTGACCAGTGAGAACAACAGGACCCCGTCCCCCAAGCACGAGCCTCATGCCCGACGTACTTCACAAGTAGCGCATCACCCTCTTAGCTGCCTTCTAGTGCTCTGGTCGATGTCTCCCGGGCACAACGTAGCGTGCCAGGATGCTTAGAGGGTAAGCAAGGTCAGGACAAGTGCAGGTCACCAGGTACATGAGGCAGCCCACAAACTCTGGATACGGACCATTTGGCTCTACGGACTCATTTGAAGGCAGAGCTGAGAGCGAGTGACCAGTAGGCAGAGGAGTGGACTGTGGCGAGGAGTACTGGAAGTCAAAGCGCTGAAGGACCTGCTGCACCATGTGTGACTGGGTCAGGGTGATGGTGCGGCGTGATCTGTTCCGAGTGATCTGAGGGCCAAGATATCTGCACAGCTCACCCAGGTCTGTGCACGTGTGTCTCTTCTGCAGCTCCGACTTTACTAGAGTCAGTGCTTCAGTGTCAGCAGTGGCAAAAACCAAGTCGTCGACGTACACGAGGATGTAGAATGGCGGCAGCGAAGTGTCGGTGCATAGAAACAGCGATGAGTCAGCAGTAGAAGGAGCAAACTCTAGAGCCGCAAGAGTTGTCCGTAGTGTGTCGTGCCACTCTCGAGGCATCTGGTGGAGACCGTAGACTGGCCGCCGCAGGCTCCACTGGGTACCTGGAGGGAACGACCCAGTGAAGCCAGGTGGGCGACGCAGCCAGATCTCCTCGTGCAGGCTGCCCTGTAAGAAGGCTGTGCTGAATTCAAGAGAGTAAAGCTCATAGTCACGTTGAGCAGCGACGTGCAGCAGTACCCGAAGAGTGGTCATCTTCCGGGTGGGAGAGAAGGTCTAAAAGTAGTCAACTCCCTGCCGCTGAGTGAATCCTTGAGCCTCGTAACGCGCCTTGAAGAGTGGCGGAGAACCCGGCGGCCGCTTCACCCTGAAAATGCACATGCCATTGATAATGTTTGCCCCAGGTGGGCGAACCTCGTCAACGTAGGTGCCTGTGGACTTCTAGGAAGCCATCTCTTCGTCCATGGCTGTCTGCCACTGAGAGGAGTAGGGAACCTCTATCGCCTCTGTGTAAGAGTGCGGGGTCGGGATGTCTGGTGCATCCGGGTCTCCCTCAAGGGCAAGCAGCATGGACACGAGATGATGTAAAGCAGTAGCAAAACACTGGAACTCCTCCTGCCTGTCCTCAAAGACGTCCGTGCAAAGGGCACACTCACCCCCAATGGACGGAGGACAGATTGACTCAGACTCAGCAACAAGACTAGCGGCATAGTCTAGACAATAGCGAGCAGCAAAGTCGACAAGCTCAGGAACAAGAGCAGACGCAGCAGTAGACTCAAAGGGTCACTGGCAACAAAGGCCAGGAGACGCGTGACAGTCGGACTAGCAGCACGAAGGGAGTCAAACTCCGGGTCCGGACCGACTGGAAGGGAGGACGCGGGAGGAGACGGCAGAGGGACACGCTGCGGAGCAGTGGAAGGACGGAGAGCCATCTGGTGCGTGCCAAGGACAGGAGGAGGCCATTGACACGAAGCACGTCGACTAGTGCGAGAAGCACGAACAGGCGAAGCAGGATGATACACAGGCTCACGGCGCTCAGCAAGACCTCCAGTCGGCGCCTCCAAAACCAGCAGGGACAGCACAGGCACCCCCAGCGTCAGCTCCAACTCCAGCAGCACCACCAGCTCTAGCAGCACCTCTTGCATCTCCAATAGCACCAACTCCTGCACCTTAAGGAGCACCGGCTCTAGCAGCACCTCCAGCTCTAGCAGCTCCAGCAGCTCCAGCTCCAGTTGGACCACCAGAGGCCCCAGCAGCTCCAGCTCCAGCAGCACCACCAGGCCCAGCAGCTCTAGTACCTCCAGTACGAGCACCTCCGGGACAAGTGGCTCGAGAACCCCCAGAAGCTCCAGTAGCAGCGGGACCTCCAGCGCCCATAGCACCACCAGCTCCAGCAGCACGACTCCAGCGCCGAGCAAACCACTCGCGCAGCTGCTGTTGAGAGAGTGGCTCCCGCCGGGACGAAGCACCCAAAGGACCTCCAGTCTCAGCACCTCTAGACTCCACACGCGCAGGCTCAGCACCCTCAGGCTCCGCACCTCCAAACTCAGCAACCCCAAGCTCAGCAACCCCACGCTGAGCACCCCCAGACTCAGAACCCCCAGGCTCAGCAACCCCAGGCTCAGCACCCCCAGACTCAGCACCCCCAGGTTCCGCACGCTCAGGCTCAGCACCCCCAGACCCAGCACCCACAGGCTCAGCACCCCTAGCAGCACCAGAGTCAACAGCTACCTCGACAGGCTCGATTGTGTCTACCTGGGACACACCTGAGGGGGCAGGACCCTGAGGGGGGAGGGGGTCTACCGGGGGAGGACCTGGCGCAAAGAAGAGCGGCGGGGTGGGGAGGGGGCCAGTGCAGTAGGGGAAGAGACGATGATAAAGAACCGGCTCGTCAAACGTAACGTCTTGAGAGGACAGAACACGGCGCGAGGTGGGGTGGTAAAACTGCCAACCAGGCGCGTCAGGGGGGAAGCCAAGGAAGACGCAAGGAACGGCACGGGAGGACAGCTTGTCCGCAGACAAGTCGCAGACAAAAGCCCGAGATCCCCTTACACGGAACGCTGACGCATCGCCAACCTTCCCCGTCCACCGCAGATTAGGTGTGGTCTCCGGCATGGAGACCCGGGGCTGGAGATTGAGCTGACGCACAGCATACTGAACCGCGAACGGCCACAGAAAATGGGGAGCGGTCGCATGGATCATGAACGTACGAGTGACGTCCATGACCATGCCAATGAGGCGCTCAGCATTTCCACTTTGCTGTGGAGAGGCCGGAAGCGTGGACGTCTGGCGGATGCCCTCCGCATGACAGAAGGCTCGCAGAAGGTCGGAGGAAAACTCTCCACCTCTGTCGGAGTGCAGACGCAGAACAGGAAGGTCCGAGCCGAAACTCTCGCTGAGCTGATGACAGGCAGCGCCGATCCAGTCGATCAACGCCTAAGTGACCTCACCCTTGCGGCGCAAGGGGAAGACTATGATGTAGCGCAAGTAGTCGTCAACGACCAGCAGATAGTAGCGCTCGTGATCCTGTCAACGGATGCGGGCTAGGCCCCACACGTCCATCGGAAGAGGCTGCAGCGGAGCCTCCGTCGGAGTGAACTCGGAGGAGTGAGGAGCGCCACACTGCCGCCCCTCGACGCAAGGAACGCAGGTAGGGGCAGGCCCCTGGGGGAGGGGAGGGAGAGACCGGGGAAGAACAGTGACAAGGACACGGGAGGCCATACCTCGAAGACAAGGCAGGGAGGGGTGACCAAGGCGGTGGTGCTAGAGGAGAGTCTGGTGGGTCACCCGCTGACCTCCACGAGCGAACTGGTCAACCCACGTGTCCTGAAGGTCTGCTCCACTCACCAAGTTCGTGGAGAACGAGGGGAGGTGGAGGCCAGACAGAGAGCCAGACGGGACCGCTGGACACGGCAGAACAGTGGAGGAGTGTGCAAGGACCGGACCCCAAGAGGGGTTAGTTAGGGAGACTGCCACTGGCAGACTAAGCGGCGTGAGTGTGGTGCAGTCGTGAAAGAAGGAGCGAAAGCACCCTAGTCAAGGGTGAAAGTGTGCTGACGCGGTACCTGAGAGAGCAGACTCACCAGCACCTGGAGCAACAGACTCACTAGCACCTAGAGCAGCAGCCTCAATGCCCGGGTCGGGCGGAACACACTGGTAACAGTCACCCTCAGAACTAATAGTCACAGCATACATAGCAGAAAGGATAGCATTATCATCAAGATCAAAGTTAGCAACCCCCGACCTAAGCAGATCACCCCAGCGAGGGAGCTCAGTGGCGTCAGGAAACTGGGCACGTCAGGCGTCAGTCAGGCGGCCGAAACAGCGGTGTGTGGCGTGCGGGCTGCCGCACGTCTCTCCACTACGCTCGCCGGTGTGGAGAACGTAAGCGCAGGGACCAGCACCCCCCGACCTCCCACGAAGCTTCTTGGGCAACAGGGCGTCACGAGAACACTGCTGCTGCTGGCGCTAGCCACCGCTAAAGCCTCCCCGCTGCACAGTGCCAACCTAACCAGCACCATCGCCGCCTCCATCCCCACTGCCGCTGCCTCCGCCGCCTCCACCTCCACCACCGCCACCTGAGCCCCCACTCCCGCCGCCACCCCCACCTCCACCCCCACCCCCTCCACCTCCTCCACCGCCACCACCACCAACACCAGCGCCGCCCCCGCCGTCCCCTCCACCACCCTTGCCCCCCTTGCCCTTGCCGCTGCGGCGTCTCCCACTAGGAGTGGACGCAGCGCCGACCGACTCAGTGCCAACGAGGTCGACAGCAGCAGCAGAGGCAACAGAGGGCAAGAGGGGGACAGGGGAGCACCCCTCAAAGTAAGGGGCACGAGGGACACTACGAGAGGCTCCTACAGCGACTATACTCTTCTCAGCTTCAAGGAGGCGCTCCTCGAGGAGGTGAACAGTGAGCATGGTGGGGCAAAGGGAGAGGAAGTGGTCCGTGACTGGACGAAGGGAGTCAGGGAGCCGGGTGACGAGGTAGTAGAGGGTGATAAACATAGGGGGGGGGGGGTTCTTGGCGCAGAACTCGGCAGGAAGCGCAGCGTGGTAGCGAGTGCCACTGGTGCGGAGGTGGGTAATGAGGTCAGCGACTGTGGCAAAAGCGACGAGGTCAGTGAACAGGTACGGCAGCATGAGGCGGCTGAGAGGTGTAGTGGCAGGGGAGGAGTAGCGCGCAACAACAACGTCATACAGAGTCTTAGCAGTCTTGTACTGGCTAAAGTGCGCGTGCTCAGCAGACCACAGATGACTAGTGGAAGGGTTGGGTACAAGTACAAACCCTAGAAATGTGCTGTACCCCATATGTGCTACCCCACTATAGCCTACATATGCTAAGTCATATATGTCTGACACACCCCCATAGGCAAAGTGGGGGAGAACAAGGGGTCACAAGACTAGTCAAGCAAAGCAAAACAAGCTTAGGGTGGATCACAAAGTCACCACACATTCCGAGCACAAGTTCAAGGCCACAAGGCCAGTTCACATGCAAGATCATATAAAAAGGTAAACAAGCAAGTGCAGACATAGAAAGATCAAAGTAAAAGCAAGGTCAAGAAGTGAGCAAGTGAGACCAAGTAGGCACAAGACCTAGCATCGTACAGCAACGATGATGATCACAAGGCGGAAGTGCCTTGCTAAAGATATTAGCAGTGTTGGCCTCAGAGGCCACGTAAGCAAGGCGCAGTTGACCACGCTGCTGCAGCTCACGAGCAAGGAAGTAGCGAAGAGCAATGTGCTTCGTTCTGTGCTCCAGTCTGTGCTCCCGACACAAGGACAGCATGGCCTTGTTGTCTACGTACAGAACTGGAGGAGAACAAGGCGGCTCTCCTAGGCCAATCAGCAGGTAGGTGATTCAGCGTAGCTCCTGTGCAGCCATGGCCCCCGCGTAGATCTCAGCCTCACAGCTGGAGCCGAGAACAGAAGCCGAGCAGGTAGACCGCCACGAAACAGAGCCAGAACCAAGACTTAAGGTGTAACCCTGTGACAACCGTTGCGTAGGCTGGTCGTCAGCCCAAGAAGCGTCTGCGTGACCTGTGAGGACCACTGAACGCCGCCCTCAAAGCACTAGCCCCATGCCCGACGTACAGCACAAGTAGCGCAACACCCTCTTCGCTGCAGCCATGTGCTCTGGTCGGTGTCTCCCAGGAGCAACATAGCGTGCCAAGATGCTAAGAGGGTATGCAAGGTCAGGTCGTGTGCAGCTCATCAGGTACATGAGGCAGCCAACAAGCTCTGGGTACGGGCCACTCGGCTCTACGGACTCATCCGAAGGCAGAGGTGAGAGCGAGTGGCGAGTAGACAGAGGAGTGGCATATGGCGAGGAGTACGTGAAGTCGAAGCACTGGAGGACCTGCTGCACCATGTGTGACTGAGTCAGGGTAATGGTGCGCTGTGCTCTGTCCCGGGTGATCTGCAAGCCAACGTAGTTGCGCAATTCACCCAAGGTCTATGCATGTGTGTCTCTTCTGCAGCTTGGACTTCACGTGGGCGAGTCCAGCAGTGTTAGCAGTGGCAAAGACCAAGTCGTCGACGTACACGAGGATGTAGAACGGCGGCAAAGAGGTGTCGATGCGCAGAAATAGCAACGGGTCGGCAGTAGAAGGAGCAAACCCAAGAGCCACAAGTGTAGTCCTCAGTGTGTCGTGCCACTCACAGGGCGCCTGGCGGAGACCGTAGACTGGCCGCAGGAGGCTCCACTGGGTACCAGGAGGAAACGAACCGGTGAAGCCAGGTGGGCGGCGCAGCCAGATCTCCTCGTGCAGGCTGCCGTGCAAGAAAGCAGTGCTGAAGTCAAGAGAGTGAAGCTCGTAGTCGCGCCGAGCGGCTATGTGCAGCAGCACCCGAAGAGTGGTCATCTTCGGGGTGGGAGAGAAGGTCTGAAAGTAGTCAACTCCCTGCCGCTGACTGAAGCCTCGAGCCACGTAACGCGCCTTGAAGACAGGCGGAGAACCCGGCGGCCGCTTCACCCTGAAAATCCACATGCCACTGACGATGCTCGCCCCAGGTGGGGGAACCTCGTCGACGTAGGTGCGTGTGGACTTCCAGGAAGCCATCTCTGCGTCCATGGCTGACTGCCACTGTGAGGAATAGGGACCCTCGATCGCCTCAGCGTACGATCGAGGAGTCGGGATGTCTGGTGCATCTGGGTCTCCCTCAGGGGCAATCAGCATGGACACGAGATGAGGCAAAGCAGCAGCAAAACACTGGAACTCCTCTTGCCTGTCCTCAAGGACGTCCGTGCTAAGAGCAAACTCACCCCCGACGGACGGAGGACAGACAGACTCAGACTCAGCAACAATACTCGCGGCATAGTCTAGATGACAGTGAGCAGGGAAGTCGACAAGCTCAGCAACTAAGGCAGACGCAGCAGTGGACTCAAAGGAAGGGTCAGTGACAACAGAGGCTAGGAGACGCGTGACAGTAGGATTGGCAGCACGAAGAGAGTCAGACTCCGGGTCAGCAAGAGTAGGAAGAGAGGACTCTGGAGAAGACGGCAAAGGGACACGCTGCGGAGCAGTGGAAGGACAAAGTGCCATATGGTGCGTGCCCTGGACCGAAGGAGGCCGCTGACGCGGAACACGATGACTGGCGCGAACAGCACGAACCGACGACGCAGGACGAGACGCAGGCGCACGACGCTCAGCAAGACCTCTAGTAGGACCAGTGTAGGGAGGAAGAGCAGGCAGTGGGGAGGTGGGCTGTAACTGTGACTCCGACTGGACATGCTGTGGACACTCTAAGGGAGGAGGACCAGTAGAAGACGGGAGACCAAGAACCTTCTCAAGGAGCGGAACGAAGTACGGCCGCGGCCGCACAGCGCCTCTTGAAACAGCAAAGACAGCACCAGTACCCCCAGCGGCAGCACCAGCGCCAGCAGCACCTCCAGCTCCAGCAGCGCTAACTCCAGCACCCTCAGAAGCACCAGCGCCAGCAGTACCTCCAGCACCAACACCCACAACAGCTCCAGTACCTCCAGCAGCTCCAGCACCTCCAGTACCTCCAGCAACACCAGCAGCACCTCCACCAGGACCAACTCCAGCAGTCCTAGCAGCACCCCCAGTGCGAGCAGCTCCAGTACCGCCTGTACGAGTACCTCCAGGACCAGTGGCTCCAGCACCTCCAGTGTCGACCCCAGGGTCAGCATCAAGAGCAGCACCTCCACCTGCCGCAGCAAGGCTCCTGCACCTGGCAAACCACTCTCGCAGCTCCTGTGGAGTGGGTCGCTCCCGCCAAGACGAAGTACATGAATGACCCCCAGACCCAGCACTGCCAGAGGCCACACGAGCAGACCCAACACCTCCCGGCTCCGCACCTCCAGGCTCAGCACCCCCAGGCTCCGCTCCCCCAGGCTCCGCACCCCCAGGCTCAGTACCCCCATGCTCAGCACCCCCAGACCCAGCACCCCCAGGCTCAGCACCCCCAGACCCCGCACTCGTAGGCTCAGCACCCCTAGTAGCACAAGAGTCAACAGCTACCTCGACAGGCTCGACTTCGTCTACCAGGGACACACCCAACGGGGCAGGACCTTGAGGGAGGAGAGGGTCTACCGGGGGGGGGACCTGGCGCAAGGAAGAGCGGCGGCGAGGGGAGGGGCGCAGTGCGGTAGGGGAAGAGACGGTAGTAAGGATCCGACTCGTCAAAGGTGACGTCCTTGGAGGACAGAACAAGGCGCGAGGTGGGGTGCTAAAACTGCCAACCAGGCGCGTCAGGGGGGAAGCTAAGGAAGACGCAGGGAACAGCACGGGGGGACAGCTGTCCGCAGACAAGTCACGGACAAACACCCGGGATCCCCAGCCACGAAACGAAGACGCATCACCAACCTTCCCCGTCCACCGCAAGGTGGGGGAGGTCTCTGGCAAGGAGACCGGGGGCTGAAGGTTGATCTGATGCGCTGGGTACCGAACCGCAAACGGCCACAGAAAATGGGGACCAGCCGCATGGATCATGGACGTACGAGCAACGTCCATGAGCATGCCAATGCGGCGCTCAGCAATCCCATTTTGCTCTGGAGAGGCCGGAAGTGTGAAGGTCTGGCGGATGCCCTGTGCACGATAGAAGGCTCCCACACGTGCAGAGGAAATCTCTCCGCCTCTGTCAGAGTGCAGACGCAGAACAGGAAAGTCCGAGCCGAAACTCTCTCTGAGCTGGAGACGAGCTGCGCGGATCCAGTCGATCAACACCTCAGTGACCTCACCCTTGCTGCGCAAGGGGAACACCGTGGTGTAACGCGAGTAGTCGTCAACCACCAACAGGAAGTAACGCTCGGACCCCTGGCCACGGACGCGGGCGGGGCCCCACACATCCATGTGAAGAGTCTGCAGCGGAGCCTCTGTCGGAGGAAACTCGGAGGAGTGAGGGGCGGCGCACTGCTGCCCCTCGACGCAGGGAACGCAGGTAGAGGCAGGCCCCGGAGGGAGGGGAGGGAGGGACCGGGGGAGACCAGAGACAAGGTAACGGGAGGCCATGCCTCGGAGACGAGGCAGGGAGGGGTGACCAAGGCGGTGGTGCCAGAGGAGAGTCCGGTCGGACAGGAGACGACACGAGCAGAGCAGACTTAGGACCAGACCTGGACGCTGCAGCAAACACCTGACCCGACGCAGCTACCTGACCAGACTCAGCAACCGGGGGAGACTCAGTAGTCAGTGTGTATAGGCTCGACCCCGGCTGACGGGTAAACATGGCCAAGTGTCGGCCCGTCCGAGCACACGTACAGTGGGTCACCCGCTGACTCGCAGGAGTGAACTGGTCAACCCCCCGATCCTGTAGATCAGAACCACTCACCAAGTTCGTAGAGAACGAGGGGAGGTAGAGACCTGAGAGGGTGCCAGAGGGGGCCGCCGGACACGGTAAGACAGTGGAGAAGTGGGCAAGGACAGGACCCCCACAGGGGTCCACCAGGGAGACCACAACTGGCCGACTAAGCGGCGTAAGCATGGTGCGGTCTCAAAAGAAGGAGCGGGAAGCACCCGAGTCAAGGGTGAAGGTGTGTAAGACCTGAGCCGACGTGGTACCGAAGAGAGCAGACTCACCAGTACCTGGGGCAGCAGACGCACTAGCACCTAGAGCAGCAGCCTCACCAGCACATAGAGCAGCAGCCTCACCAGCACCTACAGCAGTAGGCTCAATGCCCGGGT